TTCCAACAAAGTAATGGAAAAGGAAGAAAGGAATCCCCAAGAAAGAGCTGGAGGAAGTGGCGGCATCTTAGGAAAAAGTTGAAGTCACATCATCCATCAATCAAATGTTTATTAAGCATCTACTTAGTGGGTATTCAGTGTTGAATAGCCTCCAAGGCAAAGGCAATCAGTCTTTGAAAGAACAAAGGCCAGGAGGTTCAAAAATGCTCCAGGAAAGAGCAAGCAAAATGCCTTTGCCTCTCTATGGACATGCCCTTCATTCAGACACTTGGGAGTTATCCATGGCACTCCAGTTGGAGAACATGAACTCGGAGAGTTCGCCTTTTCTTAGAAAACAAAGCACCTCCTTGGCACAGCTTGGACCCAACGGTGCCCACTCTCATTAGCCCTTGAGCATCGATAAGGGTCTTCATTTCTCGAGTCCCTGCTGACTCTAAGGTTATCCAGGGGGGAAGAGGCAGCGGTGTCAAGGAGCTGGTTTCTAGTCCCTTGCTAGGCAAGCAACACACGCTCTTAACAAAATGGGTGAGACAGAACCCTCTGCGACAGAGGGCATCACCCATTATTGAACTAAGCCAAACTACATTTTTTCAAATCTGTTTTTAAAATCACAGCACTAGCCTGGCTGGTGTGGCTCCGTGGTTGAGCATCGACCCATGAACCAGGAGGTCGTCAGTTCGATTCCTGGTCAGGGCACATGCCCAGGTTGTGGGCCCGATCCTCACTGAGGGGCACGCAGGAGGCGACCGGTCGATGTTCTCTCTCATCGATATTTCTGTCTCTCTTTCCCTCTCCCTTCTTCTCTCTCTAAAAATCAATAAATAAAAAAATTTTTTAAATAAATAAGTAAAATAAAATCATAGCACTATTGGAGGCAATGAAAAGATTACCATAAAAGTACACGGCACGATCATGTCTTAAAGAAGCACAAAGTCTATTCTAGCACAGAAAGGGGTTGCATCCCGTTGCAGTACATGCCAGTTTGGTGTCCTGTCGGTAAGTGCTGGGGGAGTTCAGAGGAGGGAGGACAGGGAAGGTGGGCCTGCCTGGACCTCGAAGGATGGGATGGGATTTGAAAAGTCATACTGGGGTGCTCCTACACCGTCCCTCTCGTGGAGAGTGGATTCACAGTCACTCATTAAATGCCAACACAGAGGGGGGAGGCTCACAATCAGTGTTGAGAAATACCAGGGAATCCCCATTGTCTAGCTAAGAAACAAAAACTAAAAGTTCCCAGGCCAAAGTGTGCAGTGTCCGTGCAACCAGTGTTGGAGGGTGGGAAGGACAGTGGGGAGAGGAGCAGGGTCTGCCTTAGAGCATCAAGCTGAGGCTGCTGAGATTGGACTCGGTGGCGGCCCGTATCCCCCTGACAACATGGAGCATCTGCCCTGGATACTGCGGACGCGCTTGATCTGGGACCTTCTTTAGGGGCCTGTACCAGCTGAAGAACCAAGAAAAGCCTTGAGGATAACAAGAGCCATCCGGAGAAGAGAGCCTGGAGCTTATATGGTCCAATTCCACTACCGTTTTTTTAATCCTCACCCAAGGATATTTTTCCATTTCTTTTCAGACAGAGTCGGAGAGAGGGAGGGAGAGAGAAACATGGATGTGAGAGAGACACACTGACTGGCTGCCTCCCACATGACCCCAACCAGGGGCTGGGGACTGAACCACAAGCGAGGTACGTGCCCTTGGCTGGAATTGAACCTGCAACTCTTCAGTCCACGGGCCGACGCTCTAACCGCAGAGCCAAACCGGCCAGGGCCAATTCCGCTACTTTTTCGATGGGCATCCAAGAACCAGAGAGCAGAAGTGACTTGCCCAGGGTCACATAGTGAGTGATAGCAGAGGCAAGACTGAAACTCCGGTCTTCTGCCTCTAAGACCATGTTTTCTTAGCAGCATCTGGCATGTGAGAAGAGCTCTGGGAGGAAGCTTCTGGAATAGTTCCAAACTGAAGTCCCTCTGCCCTTTCTGACCAGCACCCAGCCCAGACGTAACCCCTGGGAGTCCTTCTCACCTAGTTCGAGAGACTGAATATAGTCCTCAAGGTCAGTGGGCTCCACATGCCGATAAGAACAGCCAAAACCTTTGGCTGAAGGGAGTTCAGTGAGGGCTTCTCATGCCCCCATTGGGGAATTTGGAATAACACAGTGGTTAAGCCATGGTCAGGATGCCATGACAGAGCCCTGCACTTCAAGGTCTCAGATGCCCAAGCTTAGGTATCTCCTACGTGGTCCAATCTCTTCACTTCACACTTGAGAAAGCTGAGGCCCAGAGAAGAGGCAATGTATCCAAGATCAGGTAGGGAGCCCGGAAGAGCTGAGCTCACTGCACTGCACCCCAGTGAATGTACTTCATAGCTCTGGGGAGAAGAGAAGCTGTTCTACCCACTTGTCCATCTCTCGTCCAGCCCTGTGCAACCTTGGATTGTCTTCCCTTGTTGTGCCTGGTCTTTGTCGTAACTGTAGACCACAGGGGTGTAATCTAACCTTAACTTCTTCTGTACCTTAACCTCCTTGGGGACAGGAATCACTTGTATCAGTCGGGGTTGAAGCAAAAAGACCCCTGTAGGTATTTTTTTAATATTATTATTTTATATTCCTCACCCGAGGATACTTTTCTACTTATCATCAGATAGAATGGGAGGGAGGGAGAGAGACAGAGACAGAGAAAAACATCGATGTGATAGAGCCACATCTACCGGTTGCCTCTCGCATGACCTGATCAGGCCAGGGATGAACCGCAACCAAAGCACGTGCCTTTGGCCGGAATAAAACCCGAGACTCATTGGTCTAACCACTAAGCCAAACTGGCCAGGGCCCCCATAGGTATTCTAAACAAAAGGGATTTAACGTAGGGAAACAGTTATACAGGTGATGGAAGAGCTAATAAGTCAGATAAAGAAAGGCTGGCCAGGTTACCCAGAGATTAATAACAGCAGGAAGTTTCCATCATTCCTAGGGATACAGGGAGAAGGTGGTGGTACCAGAGCCCAGAGACAAGGGCTGGATGTGGAGCCAAGGTGACGTTACCTACCTATCAGGTGCTTGCTGGGGATGCTCCTGGACGCAGAGAGAGGAAAGAAACAACCCAGTGATGGGAAAAATATATTCATGCAAACAGTACCCAAGAAGTGGTTGGGAAGGCTATCCTAATGTCAAGCAAAATAGACATCAAGAGAAAAATTATTTGTACAGATAAAGGAGGACATTTTATAATGATAAAAGGGCCAATACACCAAAAGACATGACAAGTAAGCATATATGCACCTAAACAACAGAGCCCAAAAGTATCCAAAGCAAACACTGACAGAATTGAAGGGAGAAATAACAGATACACAATGTAACAATCATAGTAAAAGGCTTGATGCCCTTTAAATAATGGATACCACCAGGCAATAGATCAACAAGGAAATAGAAGACTTGAATAACACTGTGAAGAAACTAGATCTACTCTGGCTGGTTTGGCTCAGTGGTTAGAGTATCAGCCTGCGGTCCGGAGAGATCAGAGTTCGGTTCCTGCTAAGGGCATGTACCTCAGTTGCAGGTTTTCTCCAACCCTGGTAGGGTCGTGCAGGTGGCAGCCACTCGATGTGTCCCTTTCACATCGATGTGTCTCTCTCTCTCTCTCCCCCCCCCTCCCCCTCTATAACGAATACCACGATCTTCTCAGGTGTACATGGAACATTCTCCAGGAGAGACCATATATTAGGATATAAAACAAATCTCGATATATATATATTTTTAATTGGGAGCATACAAAGTACATTCTCTGACCACAATCAATAACAGGAGGAAATCTGAAGAATCGCAGCACACTCACTCCTAAATAAGCAATGGGTCAAAGAAGACTCACATTAGAAAATACTTTGAGATGAATGAAAAAGAAAACACAACATATATCAAAACCTATGAGATGCAGCTAAAGCAGTGCTCAGGGAGAAATGTATAGCTATAAATGCCTTTATTAGAAAAAAAAGAAAGAAGGTCTCAATAAAAAACCTAATCTTTCAATTTAAGAAATGAGTAAAAGCAAACTAAACATAAATGAAGCAGGAGGGAGGAAATAATAAGGACTAGAATAGTTGTGCAATTCTGCAAATATACAAAAAACACTGACTGGTACATCTGAATAGGGCTAATATTATATGTGAATTTTATCTCAGAAAGCTGTTACGAAAGAAAAAAGTAGAGAGTGAGGAGGGGAGGGGAGGGAGGAGGGATGGGGAGGAGGAGAGGGAGGAAGGGGGGGAGGGAAGGGCGGTGGGGAGGGGAGGGGAGGGCAACAGGGGAGGAGAGGGATGGGGAGGGGAGGGGAGGGGGTGGGGAGGGGAAGGGGGGGGCACAGGGGAGGAGAGGGATGGGGAGGGGAGGGGAGGGGGGTGGGGAGGGGAGGGGAGGGGGGTGGGGAGGGGAGGGGGGAGGGGAGGAGAGGGATGGGGAGGGGGTGGGGAGGGGAGGGGAGAGGGGAGGGGAGGGGAGGGGAGGGGAGGGGTGGGAAGGGGTGGGAAGGGGAGAAGGGAAAGAAGAGAAAAGGAAAAGAAAGGATACATTGTGGCATAACCCTTCTGTTCTACTGCCCCTCATCTGTCAGTGCCTCCCTTTGACCAAACCTACCCAGAAGCCAGAGGGCAAAGTAGTGTGGGCAATGCCACCACTGTGACACAGAGCAGGCAAGGGAAGGATGGGGACACAGCTCTCTAACTCCCCGCACGTGGTGTTCAGGCTATAAATATTTGTTGAATCGATAAATGGCCTCTATTCCCCTGCCTTGGGCTGGGCCCTTCTTTGCTCCTCTGGGGCTTTTTGAATGTAAATGTCCTGATGATTCATGACCTTATGACCAGTGAGTAGGCTGGCACTCTGTCAACTTCTCACACTTCTGGGACCCAGAAAGTGCTAATGAGACTGGACTGGAGGGAGGAGCAGGTGTGGGAGGGGCAGGGGAGAGGATGGCTCTTCTCACAACTTAAAAGGGGCTCATACCACTTCCTCCACAGACAGGGGAGCACAAGCCCGGGCACACCTTCCTGTGTGGTTTCAGCTGTTCTGAGAGTGTCATGGACTTAGGTAAGTGAGGCTCCCTGGGTGGGAGAACAGCGGTGCCGCTGACTCTGACACCCAGACTGATTCTGTGGGGTGGCTGCAGGTGGGGGTGCAGGGTGGGGATGGCGCGTGGAGAAGCCTCCTGGAGAGGCTTTGGTGGAAGCCAGAACGCCAAGCATGGAGGGAGCACCTTTCAGACCTAGGGGAGGGGGGAGCCACTGGTTCCAGGACAGACAAAGGGGTCAAGATCGTGTCTTCCCAGACGGTGGGACTGAAGAAGGTGGCAGGGCTGGATGGGTGGTGATCGGGACAGCACCTGTTCCACCGCAGCGCAGCGTGGGTGATGTGTGCGCTTCAGACCTGTCTCATCAGAGATCCTCAGAGGGCTCTGGTCTCTTTACTCCCCCCATTCCACCTTTCTCCCTGCTGAGTAGGGATTAGAATCTCCGCTCTCCTGCAGTCAGGAGGAGGAGCAAACTCAAGGTGACTGTGTTGTGCAGATGGTACTATGCCATGCAAATGCAACCTGGGCTGTCTCTGCCACATGTCCCACCAGCCTTGCTCGTGCCTTTTGCAGGGTAAAGGCTGGATGAGCAACATAAAATGGAACAGCAAGGGGCCTGGAGAAGTCATAGTCCAGGCCTCGGGCACAGTCCCCTGCCTCACTTATTCACTTTTTCTACCCAGGCAGATGACTCTTCCCTTTAAAAAGCCCGTTCTCCCATCTAACGTTGGTCTTAACTAGAGAGTGCAAGAGAGGCCTGAGTGGCTCGGAGGGGTGTGTCCAGCTCCAGGTACCCCGTTTATAAATCTCAGCCGCGGAGCCAGACCCCGCGGAGGTTACGAAGGCCAGGTTCCTGGATGGCTTGTTCTCACCAGCAAGCAAGCACCACGGTGGCCTCAAAGCCACAAGGGGTTGGCTTTAAAAAGTGAAGGTTCCCTGGTGCACCCTCTGCTGTCCTCCCCACCCTCCCCACCACACTACAGCCTTTTTTCTTCCACACTGCCTTTCCCACCCTCCCAGAAACCTGGGTGGACCCAGCGAACAGCTGTGACAGACACACACCCCCCACCCCACCCCACCCCGGCACTGAATGAACCCTTGGAAGGCAGGGTCTGATTCTTGCGTCTCTGAGTCTCAGGTACTTTGGGGGTGTGAGCAGAAAATGTATGTGGAATGAACGAATGGCGTCAAGAACTCCGAGTTGCTTTTAGTGTTATAAAATCTCTTCCAACTTCCTCTCCTCTCAGCAGCCTAACCTTTAATCCCACTCCCCAGCCACCTACCCCACTGATCACTGTCACAGGCTACAGTCTTCACCCACCACAGACCCTGCTCCTGTCTCTCTGTTTGACCTCTGTGAAGGGAGCCACGCAGTGTCCCAATTGTGTGCTGGTACATGCTGGAAAACTGACTCCCCAGGGTGGACGACCGTCCTGATTTGTAGTGTTTGCCAATTTCCACAGTGTAAATTCTCCCACTCTAGTGGATTTCAAGCTTCCAGCCAATATCAAGCCATGAAATGAGTGAACACAGACTCAGAAAGAGATTCCAACACTGGCTAACGAGCCTATGAAACCAGCTCCAGCTCACCACTGAGGGTCCTCCTCCGGTCCTAGGTTTGGTGGTGCTGGACCCACAGGCTTTGATGCGGGGAGGGAGGGCAACCGCTGGTCCAGGAGAAAGGGATGTTCTTGCTGCTTTGCTCAATTCGAGAGAGCCCCAACGGCCAAGCCCAAAATACTGAGCCAAACCTGAAATACTGGTGGGGGGAAGCTTGCTCAGATCAGGCTATGGACCGTTGGGGCAGGTCTGTTTTTCTCTCTTCATCTGCTCTGCAGGGAGAAAGGAGTGGGTGAGAGGGCTGAGTTTCCATTACACGAAATGAAAACCCCAAACCCAGGCTGAGCGGGTCTTTTTCACAGTTTGAATGAACAGTCTGGAGGTCCCCTCCCCACCTTCAAGAAATGTAGCCTAAGATCTCAGTTAGAATTCTCCGAAGTAGAGAACAAAATAAACAAACCTTCCAGAGACTCCTCTCACACAGCTTGACAGATATGGCAGCAGAGGGGAATGCTGAAGGGATTGGGGCCAATCCCGCCTGGCCTTCTGGGAGCTTGGCTGGGGAGGAGGGGCAGGCTGCAGCCTGAGGAGCTGTTGGAAAATCTCTCCTCTTTGCTTGGTACTTTCTTGCAGTCAACTGTCATTGATGGAGGAATTCAGGCATGACCTGTCTGGTGGGGAGAAAGACACATGCCACTACGTCAGAGCAACAGAATGAGATATGGTGCTGATGGGGTAGTGGGCAGGGTGCTTATAAAACTCAAAGAGAGGAATAGTGAACATGAGTCAGGGAAGCATTTAAGTTCGGGGGTTTTTTTAATAGTATTTATTTTTTGAATAGCTAAGACATTCACATGATTCAAAATTCAAAAGGCATAGAGAATATATAGTTTTAAAAAGTCTTTCTCCCTCATTCTCCTCCCCTTTGATTAAGTTGGGTTTTGAAGGGTGTATAGGAGTTAGCAAACCAGCAAAGGAACAAGAGGCCCAGAATGGGACAGTGATGGCAGACTCAGTTGCCATCAGCGGCCAACAAGGTAAATGTGGGAATGGGCATAAGATGGAATAAAGGGAGGGAAGCAGAGTGAACCAGAGGGTGCAAGCAGCCAAACCTAATTTCTTTGTAAACTCCATGCAGCCAAGCAGAGTGTCCTGGGGGCCCAGCCTGCAGGCTCCCAGATGGTCAGCTCTGGCCATGCCAAGGCGGAAGGGAGGAAGGGAGGCAGGAGGGACAGGCAGGGCCAATCCTTAAGAGTTTGTATGGCGTTGCTAAGGAGTCTGGGCTTGATCCTGACAGTGATGGGAAGCCAGTGAAGGTTTTTCTTTTTCAATGAGCTGAGTTAAAGGACGAGCTTCGCGTTTCGGAAGGAGTTCTGTGACAGCAAGGGGGCAGCAAAGCCATATGTCAGGGCAGAGGTGGAGCTGCCTCTGCGATGTTGGGGGAGAGAAGCAACAGAACTGGGTGACCAGTGGCTTGTGGTGGAGTGAGGAGCCCCTCATGCTCCACAGAGATCCCAGACATGGCAGCCTCATCAGAAATACAGGGTTACACCGGTGAGCGTTCTATTCAAATCCCGCATCCTTCTCTTAGCAGCTGTGTGACCCTAAGCAAGTGGCTTAACCTCTCTGGGCCTCTATTCTCTGAGATAGCGAATGAAAATAACAAGGGATAACTCGCAGGATGTTTTGAGAGAGATACATAAAGACAAAGAAGAGGCACAGAAGAGCGGTTAGGAGTGCCGTTTCTGGAGTCAGATAGGTTCGAGGCCCGTCTCCACTGCTAGCCAGCGGTGACTCTGGGCAGGTCCCTAATCTCACTGTGCTTCAGTGTCCCAGGACCTACCTCCTAGGGCTCTGGTGAGGATGAATTATTGTACATAGAAACAGCTTGGTGCCTAGCGAGAGCTCAGTAAAAATTAATTGTATCACTGGATAAAGCAGTTGATACCACAGTGATTTCAAGATTCAACCAGCTGACCCTGCCTATTGTCTGAAAGCGAGTCCGCAGGCCTCTTACCTTCTCTCCAGATTCCTACCACTTCCCTGCTTCTTCCCTCCCCCTCCCTTGCCCCCCAAAAAAGAGAAAAGTCGTGTTGGCAGGTGAGAAATTACAAAGAAGAAAACACTTGGGGTGGCTTTGGGCAGCCATGACCCCCTGGGTGGCCTGAAGGTCCTGGAAAATGTGGAGATGGAGGTTCAGGGCTTGGGGGAGAAGTCACCCAGCAATCCCCTCCTCCCAGACAAGAAGGGAGTTTCTCTTGCTGAGTTCTAGGGAATTTTCTTTTCATTATGATCATTACTAGAAACTCAGAACTCAGAAAATACCCAACACAGAAGCAAACCACTCCTCAACCCCTGAGATTCCCAACTTCACTGTTCCCACCCAAGCTGCTGCCCAGAGCCAGTTGCTGTATGACTTTCTAACAGACAGAAATGATCTGACTCACGGCCGCCAACCAGGTCCCCTCTGCCACACACCAGAGTTCCCCTAAGTTCCACTGGGTTACCTTTCTTGAACGGGGCCTAGCCTGGTCCTACAGGATCCCTGCTCATTTGTCATCTCCCACACACCTGGAATGAGAAATCACTCCCCTCAAACACACACACAGCACGTGCACACCAGCTCCTACCCCCTACCCTAGATCGCGGTGAGACGGAATGGGACCGGTCCCAGGAGAAGGGTTCACAGAGTAAAATAGAAACACAGTTCTGGCTCTTCATATTTCACCATTGTGACTTATCAAAACTTTGAGGTTTCTCAGTTCTCACTGACAGTCAGAGCGTGCTTTTTCTAGAGTAACTGAAAGGCTCGTGTGTTTAAAGAAACCTCGAGCGCTTCACATCAAGATGAGTCAGTGGAGATTGGGCGGCACGTTTGTTAGACCCTGAAGAGAGTGTGGCTAGGGCAGAGCTGTGGACAGGAGCTCAGGGACTCAAGGGGTAATTCAGCAAGAAAGGGGAATGAGAGAGAGGAGCTATCACTTTGCACACGGATCCATTTCCTCCTAGGGCTGCAAATACTCAAGTGCAAGCTGGGGACCATGGGACCGCCTGGCACAAGAAATGGAAGGCACGGCTAGGAAAGCAGGTCCAAGTAGACAGCAGAGGGCTTGACTGCCATGCTAAGGAAGCATCGGGGAGGGGCTTCCTCCCTCGGGTTGGGTAGAGAGGTCCTAAGGATTTAGATGGAGGGCGTGATGAGGGGATGCATCCAAGTTATGCTTTAGGAAGACGTGTCTAGCAGTAATGCGTAGTATAACTTGCTTGAGGAGGGAGAAATACCTATCTATTTATGTGGCTTGATGCTGGTCCTCCTTCCCCCAGGGACCCCCAAGCCTTAGGCAGTCCCTCTGGAAGCAGTCGCTGTGACTTGGTGTCATGCAGCAGGATTTCCAGCAGGTGGTGCTGTGGCCAAGTACACAGACTCCCGGGGAATGGGCTGCTTCCTCTTGGGAAGCAGGAGCCTTTGCTTGCTGGAGGGGGCTCCAGCCTCCAGAACGTGTTTAAAGCCGCGTCCCAACCACTTCCCTGTCCCCACTGAGGCTAGAGGAGCAACGGGCCTGCGAGCCTGCTTCAGCATTCTTTGGTGGCATCACAGACTGTTTCCTGAGGGCCAGACCTGAGGGTCGAGCAATGTGGAGAGGGATACAAAGGGAGCTACAAAAGTTCCTTTCCTCAGGTGCTCCCAGCCCGTTAGGTCAGATGAGATGTCTACATAGATTACCCTGTGGACGGTCCTCCCTGCTCGGCCCTCGGAGGCAGTGAGCGCCAAGTCCAGCTTCGGCGCAGCTGCGGAGCAGAGAGCAGCCAAGCGCCTGTCCTCCGTCCGCGACACATCAGGCCTTGTGCTAACCTGGGGTCTCAGCCCGCGGTTCAGACCCAAGGAGAGCCTCCCAGTTTCCAGAATGTACTCAGGCTCTGACCCCTGCTCTGAGCAGGGTCTCTTCCCACCGCTGACCCCTGTTCCCCTTTCACCCACAGCCCAAGACTCTGAATTAGAAACAACTTAAAGAAAAGAAAGCTTATACACACTCAGTTAAGGGGAACAAAAGGGCAGTTACCTCAGGAAATAGCCTCCACCCTGCCACACTTCACAGGACAGTGTCCCCTCGGGACACCGAGGTGCTTCCTCCCTTGAAGGGCCAGCAAGAAATTCGTTCTTGTATTTATTCATCGACGCACGATTCCTGGGCACCTCCTCTACTCTGGGTCCACACTGGGTGAAAGGGAAGAAGTCCCTGCCCCGAAGGCAGGCTACGGGGCGGGCCAGGTAAACCACCAGTCAGAGCTGGATGAATGTCAGCTGAGTGAAGGGGTTTGGCGAGCCCCACTCTCATCCATCCCTGAGAGACCAGTACGTGCCACACCTCTACCCAGCCCCGTGAAATCAGCCGGCCTCCCTCGGGAGACACCCAGGGCTTCATATGTGGCTGTCCACTCACCTGGGGCAGGAGAAATGCTCCCCAGTGGCTGCGGGCACTGGAGCAGTAGTGTAGGGGACACACACACACACACACACACCCCTCTTCCACAACACCTCAGGGCATAACCTACAGCGGGAGGCCATTCAGACCCAGGAGTCAAGATCAGCTGAAGCTCAACCTTAAGGGTTGGTCTGGGCCAAGATGGACTCTCCAACTCCAAAAGTAGCCCTGAAGAGGCCAAGAAGGGGGAGGCTGCCCTGCATTCTGGTTTGCTCCTTTCCGAGACCTCGAAGTGCAAGGGGAAGAGGAGATAAAGGCAGCGGAGTCTGGGCAGCTGGCCAGGTGCTGCGAGGCACAGTCTGGTTGTGATGTTCTGTTTTGGCAAATGCTGTGCCTGGAGCTTGTGATGAAAGCTCCATCAGCATCTCTATCTCCGCGGCTTTCTTTGCGAACAAAGAGCTGTCCCTGCCAAGCAATAACTTTTCACCTTGTCTCCTGCAGGGAAGCCAATGAAAAGCGTGCTGGTGGTGGTTCTCCTTGTCATTTTCCAGGTGAGGTCTGCTCCCTCCTCCACACCCCGTCCCCAAGCCCACCCCTCCCGAGTCCAGGATTCTGCTGGAGCGGCTGGTCATTTGCTGGAAAGAAGCAGATCCAGGCACTAACCCATTCGCCATTTATTAAGCTGTTGGCCGCCCCCTCCATCTGTTGAGTGACCCTGGAGAGCCTTTATTCCATTTAAATTAAAACATGAGGGAAATAAGTTACCACCACCTTCCCCACCCACTTCCAATATCCCCATCCAAGAGACAGAAATGTGGACTCTGGCTGAGCTCTTAGAGAGAGAGGAGCTGCAGAGAGCAAAGGCTGTCTGGTTACTGAGTTTTGCACATATGTGTGCATGGCCATGCATGTAAAACTTCGTATGTTAGTGAGCTGAGAAAAGAACCTTTGTTGGCTGGTTATATATCCTATCACCCCAAGGCTGCCTCCCTCCCCAGCCATCCAAAGGCGCCCCTAGAAGCCCAGTTCCCTTTGGTGAAACGAAGACCCATCTGTACCCCCCTGGAGGGGTGGAGGATGGGGCCAGGACCTCTGGGCTGGGAGAGGGTGGAGGGGTACACATACTTTACAGGGCCCAAACTCTGCGGGAGGAAAGGCCTCCAGTTTACAAGGCTTTGCTTCTCGGTCTCAGCAGTGGAGACAGAAAAGCTGCCCCCATCAGGTGCCAGAGTTAGAAGAAACTGTAGCTCATGGAGTCACCCCCCACCCAGTTTGTTGGGGGTGAGAGCTGCCCTGGGGGTGGGGGGCAGCTGAGACAAGAGCTGGAGAGGCAGTACTTCAGATTTGGCTCTTCCCCAGGTCTGGAGGCCAGAGGGGCAGCTTTCCAGGAGCTCTGGCCAGAGGCAGGCCCCAAGCTGGGCACTGTTCCCAAAACCCCATCCCAGAGGCCCCCTGGAGCTTGGGCAGCAGCCCAGAGCCTGGCCCTCTTCCCCGTCACCACTCCCTCCCCTCTCTCCCCAGTTTCCAGGACTCTGGAGGGGTTGTATTACTACCCCGGGGCTGGGAGCTGGGGGAGGGGAGGGCGGACAGCCAGACTCACTCTTCTCTTGACTGAAGGTTGGAGGTGGCTCACGTGGGGCAGGATGTGGTGAGGCCTCGGGCTGCAGAGGCGGCAAGCCTGGTGGCTCAGGGCGGGGCAGGGGAGCAAAGGGGGAAGAGGGGCAGGGGTGGTGGGGAGCACACTTTACAGAGGCTGAGTGGACAGCTCTCCAGGAAAGCCCAGACCCCCTATGTCCAGGGTCCCCAGACCTAAGGCCTTGGCCTTACCGTGGGTGGTCCCCCAGGACTCCCAGGCTGCAATCATGCCCGATGGAAGTCATGCACTGACTTTTCTTTTCGAGGTAACAACACCCAAAGAAAAGGCTCCTGGACATTTTTTCCTCATCCTGTCCCCCAACCAGGACAGTGATGAATCCAGGATTGAAAGAGAGACAGACACAGGACACGGGAAGTCGGGGAGACTGGATCCACTTCCTGCTATGTAACCTTGAGCAGCACCTGGCTGCTCCAGGTGCCTGCCTCCCTTTCCTCATCTTTCCAGTCCCTCCAGCTCCCCAGTTGTATGAAAGTCCGCCCTGCGGCCCCCCAGCACCCAGTCCCAGAGGAGGGGCCGCCAGCCCCACCCTGCCCCGGCTCAGCCCTCACTGAGCCGACTGGGGAGCCCTCCGCAGCTTCACCCTCACCCTGACAGGCTTTTCAAAGGCCCTGAGCAGCTCTGTCCGTTGATTGGGATCTGCCTGAGGAGACTTCAGGGAGACAGGCAGAGGTGGGAGGAAGTGGTGGGAGAAGCTGGCCCCTTCCAGAGGCTCCAAGCGCCGGCGCCGGGCCCTTACCCCGCGATGGCTGTGGGGTCCTGTGCACCGGGCACGCGCTGCCTGTGTCCCACGGTGTCCTGGGCACTGTGACCGGGCCCCAGGGGTCCATACAGTCTTCGCGGTGCTGGCCACCCCTGATCACCGCAGCTTGTCCCAAACCAGGGCCAGAGATACAGTCTCTGAGCGAGCACTGGCCTCCTCGCCTCGCACTCCAGGCCTCCTCAGCCTTAGCCAAGGTGGATTTTCTCTCGAAAGCCGCGGTAGTGTGCAGGCTCCGTGCTGGAGAGTGGAGTCAGCTGGGGCACCTGGCAGCAACCCCGTGAAGAAGTGTTCATCTCCACCTCAGAGGAGAGGCGAGAACGTGCTCTGAGAGGTGAAGCGTGTTTAGCCGTCTCAAGGCTCACGTGAGCCCAAAGCCCAGACTATTTCCAGTCCACTATCAGCACATGCCCGTGTTAAAATTTGAGAAGCACTGATTTCAAACCAACGAATCACCTGGAAAGTTTAGACAGCTTCCTGGGCCCGGCTCCCTGAGATTCGGGTGCAGTGGGTATCAGGGGAGGGCCACCAAGGTGCCGGTGATGGCGATGATGCCCATGGGAACCACACTTTGAAACCACCGCTCCGGGCAACCCCAGGGCAGTGAGATTTTGACCCACTTAGCTAAGCTGGATCATGTTCCCCTTCCTTCCCCGCAGGTGTGCCTGTGCCAGGATGAGGTCACGGACGATTACATCGGAGAAAACACCACGGTGGACTACTCGCAGTTCGAGACCGTGTGCTTCAAGAAGGACGTGCGGAACTTTAAGGCCTGGTTCCTCCCAATCATGTACGCCCTCATTTGCTTTGTGGGTCTGCTGGGCAATGGACTGGTCGTGCTGACCTACATCTATTTCAAGAGGCTCAAGACCATGACCGATACCTACCTGCTCAACCTGGCCTTGGCGGACATCCTCTTCCTCCTGACCCTTCCTTTCTGGGCATACAGCGCGGCCAAGTCCTGGGTCTTTGGTGTCCACGTTTGCAAGTTCATCTTTAGCCTCTACAAGATAAGCTTCTTCAGCGGCATGCTCCTACTTCTTTGCATCAGCATCGACCGCTATGTGGCCATCGTCCAGGCCGTCTCGGCTCACCGCCACCGGGCCCGCGTCCTTTTCATCAGCAAGCTCTCCTGCGTGGGCATCTGGATGCTGGCCACAGTGCTCTCCATGCCCGAGATGCTGTTCAGCGGTATTCTGAAGAGCAGCAGTGAGCAAGCCCTGCGCTGCTCTCTCATGGCTGAGCAAACGGGGACCTTGATCTCCATCCAGGTGGCCCAGATGGTGATGGGCTTTCTGTTCCCCCTAGTGGCCATGAGCTGCTGCTACCTTGTCATCATCCGCACCTTGCTCCAGGCACGAAACTTTGAACGCAACAAGGCTATCAAGGTGATCATCGCCGTGGTGGTGGTCTTCATAGCTTTCCAGCTGCCCTACAATGGGGTGATCCTGGCCCAGACAGTGGCCAACGCCAACGCCACCGCCATCAGCTGTGAGCTCAGCAAGCAACTCAACATCGCCTACGACATCACCTACAGCCTGGCCAGTGTCCGCTGCTGCATCAACCCTTTCTTGTACGCCTTCATCGGCGTCAAGTTTCGCAACGACCTCTTCAAGCTCTTCAAGGACTTGGGCTGCCTCAGCCAGGAGCAGCTCCGGCAGTGGTCCTCCTGCCGGCACACCCGACGTTCCTCGATGAGTGTGGAGGCCGAGACCACTACCACCTTCTCCCCATAGAGGCTGCTCTGCCTGGACTTGAGGGACCTCTCAAGTCCCCGGGTCGGGGACAGGGAGCAGATGACATGACTCAGACCCAAAAGCTGCTGAGGGAAAGGCAGTTCTGGCCCTGAAGGTTTATCTCCTGGTGAAAACCCATGCCTCAAAAGACAGATGAAGCCCAACCCTAGCTACCTCAACCACGTTTGCAGAGACGTGGCTGATAAACTACCCGATGCGGCAACACCCCAACACCAAAACCATTATCCCCCAAAAATGAAAGTCGAGAAAGTTCACACCTCCTGGAGCGAAGGGACAGGCACTGGTGAGAGCTAGGGCGGTACAAGGGCCTGGGAAGCCCTCAGAATGAACCTTCAAGGGCTGAGCAAGGTCGTCCAGAAAGCAAGGCTGTATCTCCAAGACCAGAGGTGGTGGGGAGACTTCTTGGCTTGGCAAGAAAAGGGAAACGCCAGTGGGTCAACTAACTCTGAATCCCTTCCTCCATCTCTCTTCCACTGTCGTCCGAGCCAGCAAGCGACGGCAGCCTCCCAGCCTCCCTGAAAGCACACTTGCCTCTCGCCCGCGCCTCTCCCCAGGCTGCTGCCCTCCCCGCGCTCCGCGCTCCGCAGGGAGAGGCGTGGTGTTTGCTGCAGGCCAGACCGGCCGCCTCGGGGGCCAAAGCCGCCATCCCAGCCAAGGCTCTTGGGCAGGGATGACCGTGGCCAGACCTTCTCGAGTCTCCAGTCTGTAGGATGGAGGAGCGGGCCAAGAGCAAGGTTAGGGGCCCGGGTGTGAGTGACAATGGTGGCTGCCAAAGGCCACCGTGCTGCTTCTTTGTTCTTTGTCACAGGGACAAAATACTGTCATCCTGTTCTGCTTTCAGTTCATTAAGAGAGCACATTTTACTCATACACAAATAAAATATTTCCCTTGAGGAAACAACAGGTTTCAAACAAAGGGGGAAAATGTTCGGTAAATGATAAATGAGTGTGTTCTTGTTTTGCAAACCCCCATGCCCCACCTGACCACCCCCACTTCCCTCTTCCTCTCCCAGCCTTCATTTCTCAGAGCTGTTCAGAGCCAGGAGGTCTACTGAGCTCTGTAAGCTCTCAGCCATCCAATGACACAGGCCCGAGGGACTGAAAGGTAAGAAGACGGAAGTACATGCCGTGTGTCCATCTTGTAAATAGCCGTCCAGAACTCATGGGACAGGAATGAGGTCTTTTGTGATCCAGGGACACTGATTTGAGCAGAGCTTTGGAAAGAACCAACTTGTCCCTGTAAACCCTATGGCTGGGAACATTCACTGACCCTTAGCAGCATACGTAAACCGGTCTGCTCATCTGTCCCAAACCAGTCTGGAACTACAGCCCTTGACCCTCTGTCAGTCTCCCCAGGCTCCCAAAGCCGGTGTTTCCAGGGAGGGCCTCTCCCTGGGCTCAGAGATCATGCATGCTGGATTAGGGGGCTCGGGGTGGGACCCATATGAGAGGCTGCACCCTTTGCTGGATGCTTGAGAGCCAGGTCTGCCCACAACCCTCCCTCCTGGTCACTTGCTGCAATGGCCTTCCATGGTGTGGATACTCATCACAGAGGGCAGGAATGAGGAACAACCACCGCGCCACTCAGGCCCAGGATCCGTGTCACTGGGTGTCCTGATGTCTGCCCAAAACTTTGATTTCTTCAGGCCAGAGAGGTTAGTCCAACCTGTGGTGTATGAGGAGGTATCTGAAGAGCCCAGCACTGTAATGGGTCTCAGGGACTGCGTGGGGGCTGAGACACTCGTGCAAAAGGTGATTCCATCAATTTTCCGGAATGAAAAGAGCCTCGTTGAAAATGGAGCCTGCCTGGTAACAAAGCCCATTCTCTAATCTCGTAAGCACATTACATCACCCTCCTCCAAGGGGTGCACTGGGCACCATTTGTCAGCCAGCCTGAAGCCGGGAACCAGCGCCCTGAGCAGACGAGCCTGGCAGGACGCAGGCAGCGTGGAGCAGCGATCCAGCGCAGGGGCCGCATTAAAGGCAGCTGCAAATGCATGCATGCAAGCGAGCGTGGGGAGAGGGGTAATCCCGGGGTGCCTGTGCGCCCCGAGAGGGACATTCCCGGTGCCCACTGGTATGCACATCCTGATGAGGTTACAGATGGGGAAAAGCCCCTCTGTTCCTGAAAGGGAGGAATGGAACGGAGCAGTCATGACCAGGAAGCCAGGCCAACCGCACAAGCAGGCCACCTTGGCTCCAGATACTTTTTTCTAAAATAACTGGATATCTCCAAGTATTTACAAAGACAACAAAGCCCCCAGCAATGTTAATGCCCCAAACTGCGGTATCTCAGGAGTTTTCACCTTGGCTCGTTGCCGGCCTGGCCCCGCTCCCTTGTCCAATGCTCTCACATGCCTGCCTTGAGCTTTGGTGGACCCCTGGGAAGAAGAAATGGACTCACTGAGGCAGCCCTCCCCACCCCAGGGCGCACGCACACGTGTGTGTGTGCGTGTGTGTGTCTCCGTCTCCCTGCTTCACGTTCTGCTCCGTCACCCGCACAGCCCCCCCATGTGTCCTGCAGCTTTCCCCTTCTTTCCATCGCCAGCCCCTCGTCCCTCATCCTCCCTGGCTACAACCCCAGGCCACAAACCTGTAATTTCAGCCAAAAGCACCGCACTTTAAGAAGCATGGACTCCAGAGCTGCAAGCGACCTCAAAGATCAGCTGATCCAACACCCAGTCGTTCTCTAGAGTGGGAAACTGAGGCTCAGAGGGAGGAACTGACTTGCTTATCAAGACATTGCAGTGTAGGGATGTTGGATAAACTTGCTCTGGGGACCTGAGGATCTGGCGGGACCTCAGGAGGTGACGGGGTGGGGGGTGGACAGACGCTCTGGAGCCCAGCCGACTTTCAGTCTCAACTCTCCTGTTTCCCAGCTGTGTGACCTTCAGCTGTTGCTCAACTGCTCTGAGTCTCAGGTTTCTCAACTGCAAAATGGAGAGGATCTGGCAAACCTTTAGCACAGTGCCTGGAATGTTGAGTGTGGTGGTGAGGACGGACTGTGCAGCTGACTGCTGGGTTTGAATCACAGCTACACTACTTGGGCTGGTCACTTAGTCTCTCTGCCTCAGTTTCCTGTTTGTATAATGGGGATAGCCACAGTACGTAGCTCCCAGGGTGTGGTGAGGGGTAAAAGAATTCATATATGTAAAATGCTTAGGAATTCTTATAAAAGCATTGTTGATCATCATTGAGATGTTTAATAGTAGCTTAAAGCAAAAAAAGTTGCTAACCACAAGGAAACTAAACTCAATTCCTTAGTCCCTTTTCCATCCCTATACTCTTGATAAGTCAAGCTGGAGGGCAACTTTGAAATTAATTAGTCTGGCCAGGCTGGTGTGGCTCAGTGGTTGAGTGTCGACCCATGCACCAAAAGGTCGCTGGTTTGATTCCCGGTCAGGGCACATGCCCAGGTTGTGGGCCTGATCCTCAGTGGGGGGCATGCAGGAGGCGGCCCGTTGATGTTCTCTCTTATCAATGTTTCTGTCTTTCTCTCTTTCTAAAACCAATAAAGAAAAAGTTGTTTTTTTTTTAATTAGTCTCTTTCCCACCAACTGCAGAGGTGAGTCAAGGAGGCTCAGAGAGGGAAATGACTCACCTGAGGTCTCTCAGGAGCTCGCGGCAACACTAGGACTTGAAGCCAGGCTCCAAGCTCCCATCCAGAGCTCTTCCCCGGGACCCCCTGCATTATTTTGCACAGCCCTGGCTTATTGCACCTCATCCGGGACCTTCCAGCTCTTCTCTGGCAGGCACGTCCCTCTTGTCCTGGGGCCAGGCCCCTCAGGAGAGCCTAGCCTACCCCTCTTACATAGTCCCCTCCTCACCACTGGGCATGGGAGAACAAAGTGCAACCGAAGCATGGCAGTGGGCCCAAAGGAAGTCAGACAACTGAGAGTTTAAAGAAAGGATCCTCTCTGGGAGTTAGTTCTCAGCTGTGTTTCTGTGCTGAGGGTGAACAGTTGGAGGGAGAATAAACAGACCTGTAGAGGTGATAGCGGGGGTGGGGGTTAAGGCGAAAGAGATGGGGAGAGGAGGGGAGCAATTCTGAGTGGGGAGCAGAAGGCAGGGGAAGGTGAGACACGGCTGGCTTCTAGGGACTTAGAAATTATGCTCAGTGGGTAGAAAGATGCCCCCACCTACACACATACACACACACACACACACACACACACACAGCTTCCAGGGCCTCCAATCCCAGGCAGGGAGAAAGGGGCTGTATTCGTCTCAGAGACACGTGGGCCCATGACCTTCTTTGTCAAGAAGGGGCTAGAAATGGCCCGGTGCCCTGGTCTGAGCTCCCAGGGGGGAAAGAGGGTAAGGCCTCTCCTTCTACTCAGAAGATCACCCTGTCATCCCTCCCAGTTCCCACCCCATGGGAACGGACATCCCAGAGGTGCAGCAGGGAGTAGCAGCCTCAATACCCCTGCCCCTGCCCCTGCCCCTGCCCCTGCCCCTGCCCCTGCCCCTGCCCCTGCACTGACTGTCTTGGGGCCAGAAAGAGACCAGACCCAGGACCCGCTGCAGAAAGGGCTCTGCGGCCCTCGCTCTCCAGCCAGGCCCTAGGCTAACGCAACTCAACTGATCTTGCTGGAATCAGAGAGGAGGAGCCGTGAACTGTCCCACAGGCTCCTGTGTGCTCCCCGCCCGGTTAGGACTTCTCCGCGGCTGTCAGTTCCTTCTCTCCCACATTTACTTTGAGGACAAATATAACCTTATTTTTGTCCATTGTTCACAGACCCCAGGGATTTCACTCACTGGGTTGCTCATGTGTCACAGTGACCGCTACAAAGTTGGCCTCCCCGTTCCCATCTCTGTGTAAATAAACATCTCCCCGCAGGCACGGGGCGCAGGGCCCCGGCAGGCTTTGCCCGGCTCTGACCAGCTCCATTCCCTGGTGGTGCAATAGGTCCCGGGGTCAGACCTCTGAGGTCAGTACTGGCAAGAGGACAGGTGAGGAAATATGGCTTGTGTCTTCTCGTGCCTGTGTCAGAGCTCACTTAGGCCGGAACAGTTTATATTTGTTCTAAGCACATCGCTGACGTGAAATTCAACAGATGCCACAGATGAAAGGCCCCCAAGCCTTTTTCCAATGTTTAAAACGAGGCCTGGCAACGCATGCACATTCATCTTGTATGGTTTACGCAAACGGCACTCAAGTGACTGAAGCAGGAACGTGATCACGTGCAGAGACCCAGTGGTGCATTCTTCCCGGGGCTGGGGGAAGGGGCTTGTTTCTATGGCGTGGCTGGAGGCCCGTGGTCAAGCCAGGGGCCAGGAGTCAGTCACCTACGTGGCATCAGTTCTGTCTCCTGCCCAGGAGTTTGGGCTTCCTCCCTCACAGCGGACGCCCTGGGCACTGCCATGGTGCCTCCACTGACATCCCCTCCACCACCTGCCTCTCCTCACACCCCCATTTCAGGAACGCCCAGCTGCCTGAGGGATGCTCCTGGCAACCTCTGGACGAGGGAGTCCAAGAAAGAAGAGCAAGGACAGCGATGGGAGGCTCTGAACCTGGGTGGTTCATGGAGACACCCTCTGCCTTCGTCTTCATCTTCAGAACAAGACACTGGCCCTGGCTGGTTTGGCTCAGTGGTTGGAGCATCAGCCTGCGGACCAAAGAGTCCCGGGTTCGGTTCCCGCTAAGGGCACGTACCTCGGTTGCAGTTTGTCCCCGGCCCCGGTTGGGGTCATGTGGGTGGCGACCACTCGATGTGTCTCTGTCACATCGATGTTTTTCTCTCTCTTCCTCCCGCTCTATCTGAAGACAAACACAAAAAAAAAAGAAAAGACGCAGGCCTAGACCACCTGGAATTCTTCCATCCTTAGTCAAAGGCAGGACTTGGATTTTGTCCAAGAACTACACCTGCTCTGGCCCCAGCCTCCTTTCAGTAACCCCACCCCTGTCCGTGCTCCCTAATTGCCAAACTTGGGGAGACCATGAACTGCCAAGAGTCTGCGAGTATTCGTGCTGGGAGGGTCAGAGTCTAGGTGGCAGCAGGGGTGGGGTATCACAGAAGGGACTGTGGGAATCCCAGAGCCTTGGGTGGAAGAGACCTTGAAGAAGCAGAGAGGGGCCCAGCTTAGGAGCGGGGCTGGGCTCGCTGACTGAGCGCCTGTGATGTGCCAGGGTCAACAGTTGCGAAAACGAAGGTTTATGGGACTCTCCTGAGGTAAAACAGCCGGAAAGAATAACTACAACCTTATTAGGATGTTACTGTGTGCTTCACACTGTACTAAGTACCATATCTTATTTAATCCTCACAACAACCCTGCTGGAGTCCCATTTTACCAACAAGGAAGTTGAGGATCAGAGAGGTGAAGTAATTTTGCCAAGGTCACACAGCTACAATGTGATAAAGCTACCGAGTGATTTAGAGTGGTTCTTAGCTGGCCCCTACAGCTCGTGCTCTTACCACTCCACTCGAGGGGGCAACTACACAGCTGTTCATTCGTTACCATGTGTGTACAGAGCCCTTACTTTGTGGCAGGCATTATGCCAACATTCTCAAAATGTGCCAGCCAACATTTTTCAAACCTCTGGGATGCAGAGCTCTGAGCTGGGAGGAGGGAGAATCAGACAACAGATACAGCTGCACCTGACAGAGGGATGTGACTGCACAGCCGGCAGCAGCCGAGACTTTGCTTAGTCTCCCCTTCTCCCCTCCGGGCCTGCCTCTCGCCAGGCCCCCACAGGCAGCCCTGCAGAGCTGTATGCTCTGGGAGGCAGGTGTCCTGGCTCTGCCACAGACTCTCTGGTCACACGGATGGGCCACTTTCTCTCTCTGGGCCTCCATCTCCTTAGCTGTGACATGAGGAAGCTGGACCAATGGTTCGTCATCCCTTCCAGCTTTGATGTGCTGCAGGTGCCTGTGTGGGTGGGGTCAGGGGCAGGGCTCTGGGTTGATGCCTGGAAGGGGTGCAGAGTGAGTGGGTGAGGGGCTGAGAAAGCTGCCCCACCCCCCGCTGTGGTTTCTGGTGGGGCCACCGTGACAGCAGGGGGAGGGAAGTGTTTGTCATCCTTCCAGCAAAGACAATAAAACAGAAGTCTCCCAGGGCACTATGGGAGCAGGCAGCAAAGGCGCCAAAAATAAAGCACAGGGCACACTTTTCCTTTGATGGGCTCTGGCAGCTGCTGCGGGGCCTGGCCTGGGGTTGTGAGAAAAGTGTTCAGATTTCATGCCCAAGAGCACACACACACAGTCACACCACAGCACACACATGCACATAACACACGCACTCACGTGTACAACTGGCTTCACGGGCCTGAGACTGCAGTCACACGGGATCCTGCTCTCAGAAGGGCCCACACTTGAACGCTTGGCTGTCTCTGCCTTGAAACCCTTTATCGTTCTTGAGCCAGAGGCCCAGCATTTTCCTTTTGTACTGGACCTGCAG